TTCAGGGCAGCTCAGATGGTTAACCTGAGCCTCCCACCTCTGGGGCAGCCATCCCTGGCAATGGAGACAAATAAGAGGGGTTATTCAGGGACCCAGGCAAACTAAAGAAAAGTGCTAAGCATTAGTAAACTATTACAGCAGGTCAGTTACAGTTTCCTTCCACTACAGGCTCTACTCATGTCTCTGTGGATGTCAGAGGGGAAGCCCTCCCCAAAGTGTCTGGGACAAGGTCAGTCATGCTGACAAGAGCCTGAGTCTCAGACAAGGCTCGGCTGCAAATGAGCAACACCAGCCCACCCAAACTGAAATTCTAAGTCAAGGAGCTGGTTATATTTTAATCATTCTATTCTGTTTTAATTTTGAAACACTTAATGTTAATTTAAAACGCTTAATGTGAGGGGTTTTTAAGGAGAAAACGCAAGGCATGAATCTGACCAGGAGAGCAAACTGGTCTTCATAATCTTATTGACTAGAGAACCACAAAAGCATGGGGAAGGAATATCTTTACCTAACCTATTCTATAGCTTTCTATAGTTGTTTTCCTAACTCAGAGATGACACCCATCCAGATTTGCACCAGATTCCAATAGCAGAGTCTAGTTAACAGTAGTACTTACCAGTTTGTATTTCCCATTACTTCAGCTCACCTTAGTAACTTCAAATGTTTTCTTCATCTCCCTCCTACTGGCTGACCACATAGTGTATTATTCAGATTGTGATCACCCAAAATACAGCCTAATGGATAAACAACAGCTGCAGGATATCAAAGCCATTGACCAGTTCTATTACTGGACACAAATAGGGGTTTTTCTTTAATCACACTGATAATTGAGCTTGTGGAGAGTTTTAAAATGGCTACTAACTCTTGGTACATAAACCTGGAAATCTTCAAAGAATGTGGCAATTAAAATGAGTATCCACCCACTCAGAAATATATATGGTGAGAATTTTTAGCTCAGTCGAATGCCAAGTAATGCTCTGTTTATGCCAGCCAAACCCACCACAGCTAATAGCCTCAGATGAGTGAACAACTCATGGTGTCTTTGAAATGGCCTTCTGGTGTTGTGGCTGGCACCCTTGCAAGACTGTTGGGCTCCCAGTGCTGAGCTACTTAGTAAGACACACATTTCTAGCTGGTCTCCACCAGCACAATTTCAAAAGGATTAGACTAGGAGGAACAGGTCCAGTTCCTCTCACAAACACACAACCCTGCTTAAACATGACGTCTCAATGTTTAGTTGCCAAATGTGGCCACAGAAAATGTCATGTTGTCACTTTGGTTCGAATTAACCCACACATACACAAAACCCAACAGTTATAGAGTGTCTGAGACAGAAGAGATCTCCAGTGATCATCTAGTCTAGTTCCCTCTTCCAAACAGGTCTAATATCTAATTGCCTAGGACAGAATTGAGTCTGAAAACACCTACAAGGACAGAGAACCCACAACCTTTCTGGGCAACCTGTTTCCAAGTGTTCCGGGTCATTAAAAGCAAGTCAGTAAGTTAGGCTACTTCCTGTAGCCTGAAAAAATCTCTTGCCTAAACAATTCAAGCCTTTGGCCGAAGTGACCGTCAGCTCAACGGTGAATGTGGAGGAGCTCAGGCCAGTGCCTGAGCATTATGAGGAGCACATGCTCTGGTTGTGCACCCACACCTGGCAACACCTTTTGACACGAGGATGCACAACCCAATGCCACTGGAATACCAGAGGCTGTTAGCTGGCCAGAAATCTGGTAACCAAACTTTCTGGAACAATTCTGAGCCTAGTGCCATTTTAAAACCTCTCTGAGACACAAGGACAAATTCACACATACCTTTTCTTTCCGTCTGATGTTTTCCCACACTCTGTTACACACCATGCACTCAAAAATGTCAATGTAATTGTCCTGGGTGATATCTTGCACTCCCCACTTGCGTTCCTTCATTGCTGTAAGCAGCCTTGGGTTGGAAATGTCCCCTTTCAGTTTCCATTGTAGGTAGGACTCATATTCTTCATCATTTGTATCCAGTGTTTTGATGTAGTGGGCCAGCTCCCGAGGATGCGAGAAACTGGATACCAGGATTGCACTCTTGTTACTAGGAAGCCAGTCTACAATGCTGGGAGACCCAAAGTACACTGGTACCACTCCCAACTTCAGCGGCCGCCAGAGTTTTTCAGTGATGTAATCTTCACAAATAGCATTTTCAAAAGCAAGAATGAACTTGTACTGTGCCAGTATTTTTAAAAAGTTCTCATCATCCATGGCAGCTGGATTTCTGAGATGTTGAGGAAGGTCTCTATTATGCAGACATTCCCCGTAGGAGTCTACTTCAATGTGGCACATCAGCTCATGCACATAGCTGTCCCGATCAGAAGGGGGGTTGCAGTCAGACTGCACGTATACAAGTGGTGCAAGCCTCTTCCTCAGGCTGTTTTTCATCTGCAGTGGGATCATGAACCTCAATGACTTCAGAACATCTACACCCTCAAGGTACTGAGTGGTCAGTGGTAGGTGAGAGTGGCGGCTAAATGTTGCAGTGTGATTGAATAAGGTGATGGTTGCTTCATGGAAGAGTTTGTAGTTGTTTTTTGGTGACTCCTCATGGAAAAGGGCCCAATCATGATGGTCTTTACGAGGGAGGGGTAAGCTGTCTATACTGAAGTCAGTACCTAGACAGAACCAAAGAGTGTTTATCCTGCTCTTATCTATCATGCAACATTAATTACAATGACACAGAAGTCTAGTTTTAATTTAGTATCAGCCCTACAACCATCATATTTCTGACACTATAAGGCAGTTATTTTAAAGACTGCAATTCATGCAAAGACACAATAGTGAAATGACAGAAAAAAACTAATTTGGCAGCAGAAGAATCTAGAAAAAGGGGATCAGTAGTTATTATTACAAATTATTTCCTTTCAGGTCATATTGGTTTAAAGGCCTCTGATTTCAAAGGATCACTAGCAATTTTGTAATTTAATGCACTGAAATGAGAATAGTAAGATGCTTAATAATCCCTTGGTTCCCTAAATAGAGGAACAGATGGTATTTCCTCTATGATGTGATGGAAATGGTTACTGGAGGGCTCAATTTGGTTCCAGTAGCTAAACAACAAAAGGGATGCTAAAATATTGGACAGGGTTAAGGAGAAAAAGTACAAGAATTACTTCAAGTCTTGGAAAGACATTGTAATACAGAGACTTTGGAAGCCAATCTATTAATTTATCAAAGAGAAAATTAAGAGGTGATATATCACAGCTGCCTAGCAGAAACATAAAGAAGTAGCTTCTGGCAGAAGACAGCTCCTCAAACTAATGCCAATGGTAGAAGAAAAGCCATGTCTAAACTTGTCCCGGTTTGGGCCTTTTGCAGCAGTCAGGGAAGGGCACACTAGGACCCTGGGGTTATTCTATGCCACCTCACATCATGTGGAGGGGACAGAGGTGATGAGGTACTCTTTGTTCTGG